TTTTCTTTTTTTTTTTTTTTTTCCATATTCATTTTTGCTCTTTAGGTACGAGAACCTCATTCTAGTCGCGGGTGGCATTGGGATTTCACCTTTTCTAGCTATCCTAAGCGATGTTCTACACCGAATTAATGATGGCAAACCTTGTCGGCCGAAAAATATACTCATAATATGGGCCATCAAGACGGAAGACGAGCTTCCTCTTCTTAATACAGTGGACATGAACTCTATCTGTCCAACATTCTCACAGATGCTCAACCTTGAAATTCAAACTTACGTCACTCGACAATCAGAACCTACCCTGGTATTAATAATAATTTTTAAAAAAAAAAAAAGAAAAATCTTTCATCTTGTATTATTCCACTATTTCAATCTTGATGAATGATTTGTTCGACTGCAGGAACAGGGTAAAGCAATAGAGCCTGTTAGCTCAACTGTTTTCCCAGCCAACAAGAAAAATGGAATGTCTGTGTTGGTTGGCACGGGTAACATAATATGGTCCGGGATGTACGTAATTGTATCGACTTTGGGGTTGGGAATTAATGTGGCTTTATTAAATGTCTTTTATGTAAATCCATATGGAGTGGAATATTTGTGGTACAAGGGGCTTTTGTTCATCGCGTGCATGGTCGTGAGTGTGCTCGTTTTTGGGGGTTTGGTGATTGTTTTGTGGCATTTATGGGAAAAACGAACTTCAGATTATGATTTTGAGGAGACAACGGAAAATGGGTTCGTTCAACCAAATGAGCCAAAGATGGAGAAAAGTTCGAATGGCAAGGAGCAATGTGTTACCACCATTCGGTACGGTCAGAGGCCAGATTTTGGAGGTATGTTTGAGCTGATATTTATATGTTTTTAGTTACATATCGTTTGGGATTTCTAAAGATTTTTTAAGACTTCAGATGGTGTATTTAATTTATACTTCTTAATAATTTTTAAGACTTTTAAAAGTCTAGAGGTATTCATTTGAGATTTTAAAATGTCTTATTTGATCCTGAGGAATTTAACTTATTTGATACTATGATTTGTTAAGACGTTTTAGGATTTGTTGAGATTTCAAAAGAAAAAACCATATATTAAATCTCACCTCAAGACTTGAGATTTTATAGGATTCCTCTTAAATCTGAAATTCTTAAAGTCTTAAAAATCAAAGTCCCAAAATCACTCAAAAATCCCAAACTAATACAACCTCTTACTCCAATGAAGAAAATACTCTATTTTTGGAACTAAGTACTTCTGTGAAGTACTACAAGCATCCCCTTAGTTCATATACTTACCTAACAAATAGTATCCCTCTGTGGAAGTGCATTTTGTTGAAAGACCATTGACATATAATTTTGAAATATTAGAATGAATTATGTGACTAGACTAAATCTAGAGTGGTCTAGCAGTCACCTCTTTTACTTCACCTAAAACATGTCTAAAAGATGGGTCAGTCTTGAATGAAAATAGCTTGCTTTAATGAATATTTCCTCAATTTACCAAAATCTAGCTAAAGTCTTATTTAATAACTAGTAATTTAGTATCGTTAACACCTTCAGCTTGTACTTGTTAAAGCGTTTCTTATGTTTCATAAAGATTCAAGACGATGAGATGCAATTATCCCCACGACTTAACTTATTATCCATTTTCTGTTGCAGGAATATTCGAATCAATGTCTGATAGATTGGGGAACGCTGATATCGGCGTCATACTATGTGGGCCACCAGCTCTTCAGACAAGTGTTGCTAAAGAATGCAGAAAACAAAATCTCAGGCGACGTGGGAATCAGGCCATGTTCCATTTCAACAGCCATAGTTTTGATCTGTAAATTAAATAGCTCGTACAGAAATATAATGTATATTTATTTTTACTATAAACTACTTGTTCCGAGTTGCATATATTTATGATAAAAATATAGTTACCAAGGGCCTTGAGTTCGCTACAAAACCATACCTTTGTTCTCTTCTTGGTAAAACCGATTCCTCATTGCAAAAAAAATAAAATAAAATAGAGACAGAAATGTAAAAAATTCTGTTATGATTCAAGTAATAAAACTATTATCGATCAAAGTAGTTTTTAGAAAAAAATTGATCCCAAGTAATGGAAGAAGTATGGTTTGTTTTTTTTACCTTGGGTAAGTAAAATAACCAATCATACGCATGTCAGTATTTGGTCAAGTATTCTTTGATCCCCATGAGCAGATTTACATTACCAGATTCACATCAACAAAGCAAATCAAATTGGGAAACAGCAGAAGAAGCACAAAACACCACTGTGTGAGCATGTTACAACATTAGCGAGAAACAAACATTACAGAAGCAAAATCACATGAGTTTCATTTCATGTCCGAAAACTTAATGTCCAAAGAATATATATTTTGGTTGTTGCTTGTTNCATACATACACACTATATTACAACATCAGTACAAACGGAATTCCTCAGGCCACCTCCAACAAAAACAACCTTTTCCCCCAAAATCAGGTAAAACAGTTACAAGAGAAGACACAATTACGGCTTCCAGGGAGCCGGAGGAGGCGGAGGTGTCGGGAACATTGGCGGCACAGCCGAAAAGATGGTATTCTTGTCAATTCCAACACTCGTCTCCCCAGAAAGGGCCACGAGGGCCGCCACAAGGCCCGCATTGCCAGCCAGCGTGGGCTCCGTGTAATTGTAGTTAGTTCGAATATCCTTGAACCCATCATGCCTGTCGGGCCCCGCCACCATGGCCCCCACCAAGGTGTTTGGGTTGGGCTTCTTCGAGTCTCTCCACCTCCACCCCCCTTTGCAGTTGTACCTTACCTTATTCTTAGGAATCGAGGCCCCCCTGTGGTGCACGTGCTTCGGATAATGGTTCCCGAACCCCACCACATAGCTCATCTTCCTCGGATTCTTACCCAGGATGTACTTCATCTGAGGAGGGGTAAGTAAGAATGAGTCACAACTGACAACACTACCTTTTTTTTTTTTTTAATGAGGTATTTATTTAGGCAAAATTGCATATTAATACACCACCTTTATCATTTTTGCAAATCGATATATGAATGACGATTCCGTTAAAAATAAAATCTAACGAAAATATGACATGGCATTGATGTGGCTCAATGCCGTGTCAGATTTTCGTTAACGGAACCGTCATTCATGTATCGATTTGCGAATATGGTAAAGGTGGTGTATTACTTTGCAAAATTTGAAAGGTGGTGATTAAATTGCAAAAACGTGAAAGGTGGTGTATTAATATGCAATTTTTTGCCTATTTATTTATTACCAATTACTGCATGCATATACCTGGGTCTCCGCGAATTCCCGGAGGACGTCAGCCGAGTAGAAGTGGGGCCCACAGTACCATCCGGGAGTGTCGGCGGCTTTCATGTAGTCGCTGAACACCGTGGCCAGGAAGGCCGCGTTCACCACGTATTGAAGCGGCTGAGGGGCCCCGTGATTCAACTGGATCATGCCACCTGTCAAGTTATCCACGATGACGATTCGTTTTTTAAGGAAAATGAAAATAACCTGCTTGTTGTTTTAAACTACTTATTGTTGAAGTGATTACCTCGTGTTCTGTTAAATGATGTGTAATAGGGTAGAAACGAGCACATGAATATGCTGGTCTGGTTGTGGAAAGTCCTCAGAATTTCTTCGTAAGGATACCCAGGGCTCAGGAATAGCCTTAAACGACTCAGAAGCACCTGAATATAGAGAATGAAAAAGTGAGCCTACAGGACAATTGATAATGCTCTTTTGCATTTCAACAATGAATGTGCTGCAGTTTTCAAGTCTATATAGCGCTGTATGAGCTACTTCATACAAAAATAAGTAAACCCAAAATGCTCAACCGATTCCCATCCGTGACAGTGGTTATGGACCATTCTACATGTACTATTGATAAAAACCTATCCCATGGGATTAAAGTACTATAATTCAAATATGAAGATCAAAAGGCATAATATTAGGCAAATGTTTGATCATGTTTCAGGCCAAAATTGAAAAGAAGAAAGATGATTGACACATTGGGAATACACGTTTCAATCTGATTAATAATCACTGAAACAGAGCCCAGTTAGCCAGCATCAAACCACTGAGGCAGTGTTATCAATGGCGGATGGCAGGAAATGACGGCAGGGCACAATTAACACTGCATTAAGCACACACAACAAAAAAAAAAAAGAGAGAGAGAGATAGAACTTTAATTTAACTTACTTGGGTACCAGCAAGCTTATTGTCCCAACTCAATACCCCGTAAAACGGGCCTCCCCAGAAAGCACCAGCATGCCTAGCAAGACCTGGAGTTGTAGCAAGCTGAAGATAGGACGAGTTACCCGTAGCATAATACAACCAAGTTGCACCCCAAATAAACTCGTCCCAATAACCCGTCGAATTATAAAACATGGACGCCTCATTGCCCACACTGTACCTTCCACGCTGTTCCCTGGAAAATTTAAAGAGGGTCTTGGCACCATGGACAAGCTTCTGTGAATAGGCTTTGTTGTCCTTGAAGACAATAGATGCCGAAGCCAGAGCAGCTGCCATCTCAGCAGCAAGATCTGAGCAACTGTGGCATTCTGTAACAGGCCTTTCATAATCGATGTCCTCTGGACGCATCCAACAGTAGTGATCATTGGGCTCGGGCCCACCTGAGGTGTCCCCCTTGCCGACCTGCCAATACAACAAACACAATTGACAAGATTGAAAGAAAAATCTCAAAAAAGTTGCTGTGAACGATATAGTTTAGTAATTTTTAGTTGATATAAATTCAATCCTCTATAGTTAATTCAGACTTCATTATTAGAAGAAGTACCTGTGCCACGATTCGATCTATTGTATCAGCAGTGTGGTTAAAAGTCTTGAGGAAGTAATCTGTTCCCCACTTGATAATATCTTTGACATGGTTAAGCTCACCAGCTGCTTCGTACTTTGCACTGTACTCGATAACGCTCCAGCTCAACATGGTCATGGCAAACGACTGCGGGAAATTGAACTTGATTGCATCCCCAGCATCATAGTAACCACCAGTAAGGTCTTTAAATAGAGTCGAAGAATCGGACTTTCCATCATTTAAACACGAGTTTCCTCTCCATGAGACATTATTGTGCTTTGGAAGCCTTCCAGCTTTGAATTGAAAGAATTGGTCATTAGAATTAATACAGTTGGTGATGTGTTCAATACAGTTCAATACTGTCATGCTTCAAAGGCCAACTGTATTTGTTTATATAAAGATCAGCTCATCATATAATGTGATCCAGAACATAATAACAATATATAATGATCTTGAGGAATTGATCAACATAATTGATCCCAGTTGCAAAAGAAGAAAATAGAAAAACATAGTAGTACAATTTGCTACTAATAAGCACTGTCAAGCACACTCCCAAGTCCCAAATCTCAAAAATTGACTCATTCTTTGCATCAGAGCACCTCATCAGCTCCAAACACATAAAGTACATGAAAAGAGAAAAACCCAAGTATAATTAACAAAAATATGGAATTAATAATCAATCCTATTAGTTAATTTCCACCTCACTTCACCAGGTACCCAGATTTCGAGAGATCCAGTTAGTCAAGAAAATAAAAGTAAATAAATAAAGCAAAAACTAGAAAGTGACATTTCTCAGTAATGTACTCACAGCGCTGAGCATTGAAGAACATGAGGGCCTTGTTGAGCGCTTGCGTGTAGTTATCCGGCGGCGGTGGGCGGTGGCGGTGACGCGGCACCGTCTTCACAATCAGGGTGATGAATCCAGTCAAGAGGGCAGCGGCGAGGATGGTCCCCACCGTCCAGACGAAGATCTTCCTACTGACGATAATGCAGCCGAGATCCACGTACTTCTTCTTCTTCTGCTCCCCGGGCCCCAGCAGCCAGCTCTGCTGCGTCTCGTCGAGCGGCCGCGAGAGCGCCGCCCGGTCGTAGTCCTGCAAGTTCCGGCTCCTATCGTCGTCGGTGGCCGAGTCCGCTGCAATCTCCAGCGGCCCGCCCCACGGATCCCGTCCATACATACTCATTTTCCTCTACTTCCCAAACACACCCACAGAGATTGAGCTCAGATCCAAGATCTTGGTGAGATCTATCGATGATTTTCGGAAATGTAATATCGGGGAGAAAGATTCCGTGCTTGGCGGGTGAGGATGAGAATGAAGCGACTGTGTGGACTGACTTTTGTATGGTGGGTGTGTCAGATTTTGCTTTGCTTTGCGGAGAGAAAGCTAAAAGGTAGTGGCAATAATCACAATAATATAGTAGGTGGATTTGGGCTGTGGAGCTGTTGTATTTTTGTGCGTATTTGTGAATAGAAGAAATATTGTGTTTTCTTTATTATTATTACTATTATTATTATTATTATTATTATTATTTTGGTGGACGAATAGTTATCGTGAGATTGGTTGATGAAAATGACGCAGCCACTAACAGACACAGACAGCCTGTCTAACTCTCACCATGTGAACAAGGTTTATTATTTTCTACAAAACTAATATCTTATTATTATTTTGTTGATTTAACAAGTGATTGCAACTACCAGAATTGCTTGTGCTGTCGGTACAATAGTTTCGCCTAATTTCCTCAATTAAAACATATGCTGCTTATTAACCCAAAATAATATTCCCTTTTCGGGGATAAGTGGAACAGTGTATATGTTGGTTTTGCACACTGCCAACGGTTCTATTATCATACTAGTAATTATGAAATATCATATCATAATCATAAAGTTTAAAACGTAAAATTGTTCTTTTCTTCTATCCGTCCGGTTAAAAAAAATTTGTAAAACCGTTCTACATTGTCTCTGTAAATTAGTGTGAACACGAGACAGAGATAATTAAATAAATCATTTAATAGAACTTTTTTATTTTTTTATTTTTGTTTTCATTTCCATAGAGCTTATATGTGAAGTAGCTCGTGCGGGACAGAGATATTAAAATGGCATTTTCATAGCGCTAGCCCGTAAATTAATTAATATATTATCCTGCTAACATGTTTATAGTAATATAAATTTGACTTTCATCTATATATATTTATTCCTTAATATAAGAAAATTAACAATTTTACTTATTCTTATTTCTCGTAAATACTCAACTATTATTTTATATAAAATTTGTGTAATATGTGTCATTATTATTATTTATAAATGTTACCCAGAAAGTTGGGCAGATATCGATTTGTCTGAATCGGGTCTTCTTCTTCATTTTATTTTATGTAATAAAACTTTTTAATGTGTGTTAATCTTATTTATTAATGTAATTAATCTAAATTATGTAAATAAATTTAAAATAAAATATTGTGTACAAATATTTTATTATGTGATGTGTTGCAATATAATGTGATATATCTACTTGCGCATTGGGTGGGAAACTATCGACTTCACTCCTCAACTCTTCTAAGACAAATCTACTCGCAGGCTTGTGGTTCATAATATAGTCTTCCTCCAAGAATTTATCGTTCGTACTAACGATCATGTTCTGATCCTCAGGACTATAAAATAATTCACCTTTTGTTACCTTGGGATAGCCAACGAATACTCGTGCTTCCGAACGCTTCTCCAATTTGCCAGGTTCCTGCACTAACACATGTCCAAGGCTACCCCATACTCGAAACTATGAGAAACTGGGCCTACGCCCTTTCCACATCTCATAAAGAGTAGTCTCTACTGACTTTGATGGAACCATGTTCAGAATATACGACGCTGTTTCCTACGCCATACCCTAGAACGAATCGGGTAACCTTAAATAACTCATCATTGACCTAACCATCTCCATAAGAGTCCTATTTCTTCGCTCTGCAACCCCGTTCTGCTGGGGGGTGCCGGGTATAGTCAATTGGGATTCAATCTCAACTTTTGATAAGTATATCCTAAACTCTCCAAAGAGGTACTCGCCACCTCGATCAGATCGAAGCGACTTGATACTTTTACCATGAAGCTTCTCCACAACTGCCCAATACTCCTTGAATTCCTCAAAGCATTCGGATTTGCGGTGCAACATGTAGATGTACCCAAATCTCGAGTAATCATCAATGAATGTGACAAAGTACTCGTAACCACTTCTAGCTTGGATCGACATAGGACCACACAAATAAGAATAAATCAATCCTAACACTTCTTAGCTCCTATATCCCTTTGTCGAAAACGACATCTTGGCTATCTTACATTCTAGGCACGATTCACATGTTGGATAATTGTTTTCTAGTGGACCGAGATGTCCGCTAGATACCAACTTTTGAATCCTCCTAAGGTTGATGTGCCCAAGTCTAAGGTGCTAAAGATATGCCTGATTCATATGCAAAGACTCTTTCCTCTTATTAGACTTAGTCAAGAGATTATTCAATTCAGTTTGTTGCATTGTGGGATAGTTTGGTTTAAGAACATACAAATTGCCAACTAATGAACCAGAACATATGAAACAATGTCCAAAACGAATAACAACCATGTCATCAAACGAAGCAGAAAAAGCATCCATAGAAAGTCTAGAAACTGAAACAAGGTTCTTTCTAAAACTCGGAACATAAAGGCAATGTCTCAAAATTAAACTACTACTATCAAAAGATAAAGTAACGTCTCCCACTGCAACAGCCACCACTTTCGTGGCATTGCCCATGTAGACGATGATCTCTCCCTCCTTAAGTCGTCTGGTTTCCTGGAACCCCTGCATGGAATTGTAGACATGATCAGTGGCTCCAGTATCTACACACCAGGTACTGGTAGGTACAACCGCTAAACATGTTTCTACGACATAAACAAGAGAGTTACCTTCTTTGCCCTTCTTGAGGAGAGGACAGTCGACCTTCCAATGTCCTGACTTGTTGCACTTGTGGCATTTCCCTTCCGAGTTCTTTGCCATTGCCTGAGGGGCCGGTCGCGGGGCAACCGGAGCAGCCTTTGCCTTCGTCTTTCCTGCATACTTCTTTCTCTTCCTTCCCTTGTAGGGCCTGGAAGGTCCCAGCTTGCTCGGCGACTAGCACCTGAGTATTCTGAGTGAACAAGGCTTCTGCAGGCTGAAGCTCAACCAACAGTTCTGGGAGAGCCATATGCATCTTGTGCATGTTGTAGTTCAACCAGAACTGATCAAAGCTCTTCAGCAGAGACTGAAGCATGATATCGGCCTGAGTTTCCATGTCAATAAAACCTCTTAAGACCTCCAGCTCATTGAGCTGCGCCATAATCATTAGGGCATGCTCCCTCGCGGGTGTGCCTTCGGCCATGCGCATGTTCATCAGAGTGCTCAAGACTTCTTGCCTGGCAGCCCTAGACTGAGGCCCAAACAGTTCCCTGAGATTGAGAAGCATATATGCTGCGATGCCCATAGACTGATGTTGATGTTGAAGAACATTTGACATAGATGCCGAAATGTATCACTTCGCCGCCTCATCAGTCTTCTTCCACCGAGCATACGCCTCTTTCTCTTGATCTGGTGCATCGTCCGCAGGCACATCCGGACAAGCCTCAGTGAGTACATACTTGTACCACTCAGCAGTCAACACAATGTCTAAG